TGCATTCCCACCCAGCGCCAGCCTCCTTCTCAAATATCTCTCTTTCCTTTCTCTCTCTGGACTCTCTTTCTTTTAATTATACAGAGAATGCCTCAGGTTGATTTAGAAACACTAGTTTCGGCCTGCGCAGGCGGAGGAACCGAACGCAAAATCACTTGCGAAACACTCGCCGACGACTTATCCGAGAATGATGATGTAGCTGTCCGCGATGCTGACGTTCCACAGGACTTTCCGCCGGAGTCGTTCTGGCTGTCGAAGGACGCCGAACTCGACTGGTTTGATCGAAACGCTTTCTTTGAGCGGAAAGAGTCCACCAAAGGCATCTCAAATTTCGCTTACTTGAATCAGAACCCGAATTCCAACTCCAATTCACAGCGGTTTTCAGTGAAAGTCAGGAAGACTTCCCTATTGGGGTTGCCCAAGACTCAGAAGGCTAACTATATCGAAACTGCTAAACGAAGGAATAATAAACCCGCAAATGTAAAGTTGTTCCCGAAACCCTCTTCGTCCGTCGGAAAAGCCCCCGTCTCGGGAGTGGAACCGTCGTCGCCCAAGGTTTCCTGTATAGGAAGAGTGCGATCGAAGCGCGGTCGCCGGAGATCATCGGGTAAGCGAGAAATGTCGCTCGACAAGTCGAGATCGCTTGGGGATAAGCGGAAAAAGGGGTTCTGTTCTCGGGTTTTGTCCATATTTAAATCCGGAAGTCATGACAGAAAACCGTTTCGACGGGAGGTTGAGGAAATAACGGAGGAGTCGACTGTGGAGGAGACGCCAAGGACGAGCGTGACTGTAAGAATGCGCGAATTTCCGGTTGGTGTTGAACCCGCGTCCGAACCGCCCGGTTTGGGAGGGCTGAAGAAGTTTGCGTCCGGTCGTAGATCGGGGTCGTGGAGCACTGAGGATTTCGACGTGGCACTCTCTAATTCGCTGGTGGCAGACGGTCCCGCGAAAAGAAGTTGATTGGAAGTCGTGACAAAACCGCGGGCATGGAAATTGTATGTGAGCGTTGAAATTTTGGGGTTGTGATGACGTGGCAGTTGAAGAATGGCCGAACCTCGTTGAATTCGAGGTAGATCAAGGCAGTTGATCTTGCCTTTTTTTGCCCTTTTCTTTTTTTTTTTTTTAATCGGGTTTTGCTTCACTTGTAAATATGCGTGATTTACTGCAAAGCCTGTAAATGCAAACATTGTGGATCACACCCCCACCTATCTAGACTCTAGACTCTAGTATCTAGTTAATCTATTTTTCTCTTTTTCTTCTCCATATAATCTTTGGGAATTGATTGTAGAATTTTGTATTGTGGTCCTTTAAATTGGTTGAATATATTTTTTTTCTCAAAAACTTGTGTGCGAGAATTTGTTTTTCTTCAACTGAGGTATTATTTGCACCCGCGCGTACATATACATACATATATATATAAACGTGAGTGGAACAATTTAATTGGAGAACAAAACAGGACTGTTTATATGAGTAAGTTTTATATTTTTCCCAATTCAACTGCAAGTACTGGTGCAATAATCATATGATTTGCATATTTTGGTTAGAGTGACTGTGATCACATTCACACCAATTGCTTGTGCCGTCGATACACTCTGTCATGAGAACATTAATCACATGTAATGCTTCCACGTCCCGCGCTGTAGTTCAATAACACTTTATTTGTTTGGACAGCAGATTATTTGGTCAAATATATTTGCTGACATCACCATTACAATTTCTAATACAGCTTTTTATCTTCCCAATTACCTTTTTATCTCACATACATCACATCACAAAAAGTGCTACAGTAATTATTCCAAATAATATTTCAAATAATACTCTATCCAAACAAACCCAGTACTGTCTACTAACTGCGTAACTGCTCCATAGACATTATTATTATTGTATAATATATCTCAAGTACAATGACCAAAAATAAAGAAATAGCTCAATTTGATTGTTTAACGAAATTTGGCACCAAGCTTCGATCGAGGATTAGTTCATCAGTTTTGTAATGCGCTCGGTGCTCCTGACTCTTTCCTGTACCGAGAAAAGGATCAATTGGTTAATAACGTAAGTGCGACGAGGAATGCCGGGGATTTCTTCGTGTCATGGCACATGATTGTAAAGCTTATTTTGAGCCTTGCTCAAGTTGTATGGTTATACTTCTTATTAATAAATTTCTATCGTTTCAAAAAAAAAAATAAAAATAATAACGTAAGAAAAGTAGAATATATTTTGACTAACAAATCTGCACCATTTTGAATTGTTTTAAACATTCAGCTTTACAGGCAGAAACGTTAGTTACATGATATTATTGACTCGATTTAATTTAACTGAGTTGAATTTCAGCTTAGCTGTTTGGATTGTAAATTATTTGAGATATTTTTACTGTAGAACTTTTTGTGATGTGATGTATGTGAGATAAAAAGATAATTGGAAAGATAAAAAGGTGTGTTGGAAATTGTAATAGTGATGTAAGCAAATAAATTTTGGAAAATAATCCTCTATCCAAACAAACCTATTGATAAAAAAACATTAAGTAATTATGAAGTTTTTAATTCGACTCGCAAGTCATTCACCTTCTTCCCTTGACCTGAAAATGGAGTTGAGTTGAATGGAACAGAAAGGGTGGACCAGTCCCACTTGAAGGTATCGTAAAGTAGTTTTCTACCCTTTTTTTTTTTTTTTTTTTTTGGGGGGGTTACTTTGTTGGGTGGTCATTCTGTTTATGCGGGCCGCAATTGCACATTTCCTCACACGTCACAAGGTGTCAAACGCTTTGATTTTGCAACTCGCGAATTGTGATAATCATCTTTCATGTTTATTCTTGTTTTTGGTTTCGACATTCATTTGATTTCAGCGAGGAAGGGGATCCCATTTTTTCCCCAAAATTATCATCATAAATTTGAATAAAGCCAAGTGTCGTTCTTAAGTAGGTTCCGGAATACGATAAGATCGACCATTTAGCAAGGAACGACGTTAGAACTTTGATCACGGTTTGCACTGAGGCGGACTTTTCTTATATTTGTCGCACGCCTCCTTTTGTCGTCCAACAAGACGAGGAGTGTTGCTGCTGCCTCAGGATCCAGCCATCAGGATTGAACCCTACGGTGGATTATATATACCGGTGCTGAAAGTACATGCGATACGTGTACAATTTAGAAATATTTAATTTTACATAAAATTTTCATTATTAAAGTAAATTATGGTATTTAAACCTTTTTTTTCCCATGAAATGATGGAACTTTAGTAGTTATAATGTATAGATACATTTATTTGGTCAAGATATGTTCAGATAGTTATGGTTACTAGTAATTATTTTAGTAATTCATGTTCGGTAGTAAAGTAATGAATGATTTTTATAAACATAAATTTCCAAGTATATAAAATTATTTATCCAACCATCCTCTCTTTCTTTATATATAGTATAAATATAACAAAGTAACAAGAGAAACATCAAAATGGGGCTTTGGTTGGTATTTTTCCAGCCCTAAATGAGAAGATCAGCATTGGCAATGGGACCTTTGGAATTATTTGGAGATTTTCCACCAAGTCCTAGAACGACTTTCCTCTTTCTCCAAGTTAGGGTGGAGATGGCATCAAATTCTATTGGTAGGTTTTTTTTGTATAAGCAAACACTTGGGTAGACCCGATTTATGTAGATCTAATGATTCAAAATTAGTCATATCATTTCACCAATTTAAGTATTAAAGATGCGACAAAATTTGGACCATTAGGTCTGCAAGACCTGATCTACCCAAGGTTTTGCCTTCCATATAAGCATGGGACGATTAGGGTTGCAAACGAATTGAACTACTCGAGTCAAAACTCGACTCGAACTCGATCAATATCGAGTTCGAGTAGGTCAAATTGAACTTGAGCTCGAGCTCGAACTCAAAAATATTAAGTTCGTTAGAGCTCGAGTATATATATATTATTTTAATCATAAAATTACATATATATCCATAATATTTTATTATTTATTAAGAAAAATATTATTTATTTATTTTTTAAAAATAAATAATTATTTTGTATTTTTTCGAACTCGAACTCGAACTCGAGCTCGAGGTTGATAAAACTAAGTTAAGGTTCAATTCGATTAGACCAAAGTTCGACTCGACTCAACTTGCTTGCAACCCTAGATACGATAGAACTGCACAGTGCCCATCCCAAGTCTTGATATATGTCCATAAACAGGATTTTGCTTATGAAAGCTTGCCTTCTTTCTTGATTTTCTACCTCAGGAATAAGGATTATCCACATTTATCAAATAAATTATTTTTGAATATTTATATTATATATAAAGGGAGAATGGCATAATTTTTTTTTTTCATTTTTAACTTTACTCTCACGATCGCTTAATTATTCCTTTACCATCTGATTACATGTTACGCACATTGCCAACCAATGTAATTACAACTAATTTTTACCCATAGCCACCCACAAACATTGTAACCACCAAGTGAATTATAATACATAGGATCAATTTGACTAAAGATAAAATTATAAAGGTAGAATTGTCAACATATTTAAACAGTCCATTTTTCTACCTTTTCAAATGAAATATTTGCCACAAATACTAAATAAAATATTCTCAAATGGATAATATGCCTATTGTTTTCATTGAGGGGGAGAAGTGTCATTACGCACCACTTTCCCCACGCCTGGGGGGAGAGAGGGGGGGAGGGAGTGTCATTAGCCCTTGTAACTTACAAGTAGCGAAGAAAAGGAAGTCCAATAATTCTGAAATCTAGACCAGCAGTTGCGAGAGTTGAGATAGGCCTACCACTCAAAAACCATAAACTTTTAAATTATGTATGCTGTTTACCCTTTATCTTGACTCCTTTCATCAGTTCATACGCTGAATTAGTATCTGGTTGATCCATTTGCATTCACTAAAAGATAATTGGTTTCGTTTAACATAAGTAGGCACTTGATTCTTGAAAAACAAAGGAAAAAAAAATAAAAACAAAAGTAGGCCCCTGAATACTTGTAGAACCGTAATTAGAGAGAAGTAATACTAGAAAACGTGGTATTTCACAGTTTTCCGTAATGAAATGGTGGACAAAGTCATCATGCGCAAAAGGAATCATTCATTATAAACACGCACGTGCTTAAACTTCTCTATTTATTAGTGATATGCTTTAGAACTCTTGCTCTCTGCACCTCAAGCTTTTGCAATTTCTCAACAAAATCTCATCACAACAATATAGTAAAGCCTCTTGCTCTCCTCACCAACATATATATATATGTGCTGAAAACCTTGCAAGGCACTCAGCAAGTTAAAATGGATTCAAATTCAGGACTGGGATCACCTCTTCATATAGCTCAACTAGTCGTCCATTGAGTGGTTGCACTGGTCTTGAATTGTTCTTGTACGCCCAACCTAATGGTGCTTTGAGAGCTTGAACTTGCTCTGGTGATATTGGTCTCACCTGTTTGTTATCAGGACGATTCAAATATAAAGTCTTTAGCTAGAATTTTTGCCATTTCATTTGTGCAATTACGTGTATCATGTATGCCCGTGGCCTAAATTAGTGGAATAAGTTCCTTTCATACCTTGCCAAGGATGTACCAGGCTACAGTCTGGTTGCAAGGAGGAGTAGTGAGAGAACCAGAATACCTATAATACTTGCGGGCATTTTTTCTGAGTTGATGCATGTTGAAGGTCCCAAGCGCAACCTGACCTCCCTCTTTAACTCCGGACATGTCTTTAGCCAGTTGATACAATTTATTCTGCACCTGTGACCATGATGATGCATACGAACTTTCAGAGTTGAAATTTGATTTGGAAATGCGAATGTTAATTTACTACTGAAAGTTCTAATCACCGAATTGCTGCTGCCTCCAAGCTACCACAACAAAAACAGATTTAGCACTTGGAAATATATTAAAAGGACGTTGTTTGCTGGTCAAGCTTGCAATAAGAGGGACACCTACATCAATTAACAAGTTCAATTTTTCTGAGTGCACCATGTTTGGTAAGTGCACAAGTCTATCATAGATTAGTTTGATTACCTTAGCAATTAGCGGATCAGGATGTCCAAGATGGTAGAGGATACCTATCACTGCAATGCAGCCATCATCAGCAATGTGAACAAGGTGAAGTTCAGCATCGTATCTGTCATGATGATGATCAGATGCATTTGGTAAGTTATTAGTAGTACCTGGAAGAGTTAACTTGAAAAGCAAATAACAGAAGGCAAAACATAGTAAAATAACCCTTCAACAGTCTAAGGGGAAATACAAGTACTAATTCCTGAAACCTACTCACTCCCCGCTCAGTCAAGTAATGCGGTGTAGAGTTAAACAGTACACAACAGAAAATTCTATTCTTCCATATCTGTTTGATCGCTTTGAGTTTTGAAGTGATGCAAATTCCTGTGTAATTGACATGCCCACATTGATTTAAATAGTAAGCCTTTTTCCCTGATTCTTTTTCAGTGTAGAGTAACTAATCTGAAATGCTTGAGGGTAGTTATGCGGTGAGAGAGAGAGAGAGAGAGAGAGAGGGAAAGAAAGCATACTGAACTCCATCAATTCTGTGCTCAGAAGGAGAATGCCAATGCAGCTGACTGAATTTGTAAGCCTTGCCATCTGAAATCAGTAAGTTTGTATTTTTACCACATCGCAGCTGCAAGTCAGAAGATTTAACATTTCAGGAAGCAACTTTTAGACTTGGGAAGAAAGGCAGTTAAGCATAATCAGAGACAAAGAAATAGTGCTGGCAAATCATTGGCAGGCATAGAATAAGATTCTCAAGTGTTGAAAACATAAAAATACAATCCACATCAATGCATTAGACGAAAGAATATATAGAAACACGAAGAACATACTGACCCCAATGTTGAAACCATTGTTGACGAAGGTAGCATTGATGTAACTATATTCTCTGGTCAGCGGTTTCAATTTCTTGTTCAGAACAACCTTTCCCTTTCGAATGTCGATTGGCGACTGTGATTTACCTGTTGAGCACTCTGAGAAGCCGGGCTTCAAGCTTCCCCATTTGCTGGGGCCCGTGGCACCCATGTAACTGAATGGGATCTGTACAATAGCCTCTGCACAGAACCATAACATAAACGTGTTGAAAACTGTTCCCCTGTTGAGTATAAGAGTACTACTAAATTCACCAAGAGTAAGATTGATACTGTAACTGCATTCTTTCTTTCCCCAACTGATGTATACAAGATTTTTCCACTTAACGGAACGGAAACAGATGGCTGTTGTCCTCTGCAAGAGCTAGCTGTAGTGCTAAAAGAATACTAGCAATTTGTATGCAGTTGAAAGTTACTTTCAACCTGAAAGCTTTTATTACCAGAATTTCTTTGAAAACAAACGAAGTTTGGTTATGACATGATAGTTGCAGATACGTATTGAAGAAATGCATTTACATATCTTTGGGAAAAGAAAAGAAAAGAAAAGAAAAGAATACATTTACACTAGAGGAAGATACTGGGATCATATGTACCTTCTCCGAAGATAGGAGAAGCATGGATGATGATCAAGACTGTGGTTGCAAGCACGAAAATGGCGAACCCAGCAGGCATTGTTGCCGCTGCCATATTCCAGACAACTTTTTTCCTTTGATTATACAGATAAACCTGGAAAATGTTTATGCAGAGAACCAGAGAAGTAGCTCTAGTAGCTTATCATAATCCACATGGTAGACAGTCAAAAACGAGGATAATATATATAGCGAGCCCCAGGCCGAGCCCAACAAGTGCTTGTCCAAGTTCTTGAAGCACCTATTGACTTTTTTATGTTGTCCAGTTATGAAAGGTATCCGACCCCATCTTGAAGCACCTATTGACTTTATTATGTTGTCTTGCTATGTGCTTCACCTACTGACGTTTATACTTGTATATATATCCAGCTTTACAGAAGCATTTCTGGCAGCTTTCTTTAATATCCAAGGAGAAATTTTCAATTAAGAATGACCTGGATTAGGCGAAAATTAAACCAAGTGTGCAATCATAACAGATATAAAATAGCAAGGAGAGACCAAATCAAAAAAAGAAAGGATATTTAAGAAATTGACATAACGCATAAGTATATCCTAATTTACATAATTCACGGATGATCCATATTCTGAGGTCATGATGCATAGATTGACCTCTGGATTCATTGTTGATGAGTTTTTGACTTAGTTTAATTTTGAATGTTGTTTGAAGTAACCATCAATTTGCTTCTTATCTCCATATAATTATTGGCCGACATTTCAAACACCAAGCAACTTGAAGAATTTAAAAGATTATGGCCATATTCTCAAATGATTTTAGAAAGCTATTTTGTTGACTGATTTTAAAAACTTAAATTTTATTTGGGTCCAAAAAAGGCTGAAAATCAGAAGTAGGTCTTGAGGTGCTTTTGAATTCTGATTATGGCCTACTTTTTCATCTGGAGAAAATGGGTTTATGGGACATGGAGAGGAGGAGGAGGAGGAAGTAGAGGAATGTGATGGGGGTAAAATGGGAAACGGAAAATAGAGTAGCCATTTTTGCGTACTCCACCATTTTTGCTTTGTGTGAGAAAGTGAGTGACAGAGGAGTGAGAATGGGAAGACTGGCTGAAGAGAGAGGGATGACGTGGTGCTGCATGAGACTTATTACTACTATTTACTAGTACCATATGATGTTGTGGTATATGTTGTGTCCGACTCTAATCCGGTCCACACTAATCTAAACGCCTACAGGCCTTCCTAACAGCAGTACCTTTTTTTTTTTTTTTGGGTACATGGTGACATGGGATATATATATATATATACATATATATTCAATAAGGGGTATTTCAACTTTTTGACCAAACTAATCTCCTAAACCTATGTAAAACCTTGCCCTAAGGATACACGGCGGCAAAGTAGCACGCACGCAGCTAAGTAACATGGGATATATACAAGTTACTTACTACTCAAGTATTTGTCATTTTCTGGGGGCTGAACATCTTCACAGATGAAATGCGTACAAGTATATTATAGGTAAGAATGCAATTTCTTTTTCATTGACATCATAGATTAGATTAGATGACATTTGTAACTTTTCCAATAGAGAGTAAGGCAAAGAAAGGAAGGTGTGGCTTACTCTTATTCTATTAGGCTTAGGCCTATCGGGAGTGAAGAAGGAGAGCAGACCTTATTTCTTTATTTCTCTTTCCAATCCGATCTGTCTGTAAATAATTACCTGTCTTCGACGTCTTTGCCTATGGGAGCAAAGATCAATTATGTTGGTTGATAGACGTCGTTAATTATCATCGCACGCCATTGCAGTTAACAACAGGTCAACGTCTATGCTTAGCCATCGCGGTTCATGATGCAGTCTGCAGCAGAGCCCAGCGTTGGGTTTTATTGCGACAGAGAAGGGTTATGGTATCATCAATGCAATGCACCACACTTTTCAACAAGAGCCACTTCCAATCATCAACAGTTCGGCCGTTCTACCACAGCTTGTTAACTGCCCATTGAGCCCGAAGGTCAATTGGCAACGGCGATTAGTAAGCGTAAATCAGCCGGGGTACGTTTGGATTGAATTCCAGCTTCACTACCATTTCTACTTGACCTAGATTATAATTACCACCTTACAAGACAACATCACAGGGAATCTCGCCATTGAGAAGATGTTATCATAACGATAGAACTTGTTTTGTCGTGTGCTTCTCTTCAGATTCTTATGGCACAATAGAAAGGCCTAACAAGGAGGAGGAGCAGCGGCAATCTGTTGCCACTTTTGCAGAAGCCATCGTGACCGCATAGATTGTCGAAGCCCACAGTAGCAGAATCTAATCTATTATTCACACCATACAACATGCCAATACTTTCAAAAAGTAGTGGAGCAAGTGCCATGATCGAAGTACCATTCCTTTTTACCCAAAAAATTATGCAAAATCCCACCACAGTATTCAGTTGAAGTTTGAAAGGCCGCACAAAGCATCCTCAGTCCTCACCCAATACGATTATCGAGTCGCAATATCATGGTACCCATTTCCAATCTCAGATTAAGGTCATCGCAAACAATTGGCGGAATGGAACAGGGGCGCTTCCTAGCTCTTATCTCAAACCACCACTCCCAGGAAGATCACCAAAATGGGAAGGCCAAACAATGAAAAACATCAAGGTCCACCACCACCACCACCACAGCCACAAGATAATGGATAGTGTAGCACGTGACGTTCAAGATTATTTTATGGAGGGGTCAAGATTCTTCAAAGGTTCTCCCAATCAGCAAGAGTAAGGGTGCAAATGAGTTGAACTCAATTGTATGATTCCCAACCTTCTTCGGTCATAGCTTGAGCTCTAGCTTGCGTTGACCGAGTTCGAAGAACTCGAACTGCTCGACAAGCTTGTGCTTAGGTCTAAGATGTGAAGCTTCAAAGCTCATCAAGCTTAATCGAACTCAATCGAACTTCACACACACACATATGAGTGTGAAATGTTTATCTTATCCCTTACTCGATTGGGCTCGATTTGATCAAGATCGAACTCAAGTAAGGCATAATAAAATCGAACTCGAACTCCAGCTCAACTTTCACTTGCTCAACAAGTTCAGGCCCAAGCTTTTTAACTCAAGCCGAGTTCAAGTAGTATCAATTGCACTCCTAAGCAAGAGACAGACAACCTCAAAATTTTTAAGTATATCCATGCATAAAAGTCGACTCCTGTAGCATCATAGTACGATACATTTCTGGACCAGAAGGATATGCAAAAAGCAAACTGCCTCACTAGAAGTGTAGAAAATGGCCTTTGACAACGATTTCAAGAAAGTAATTGCCTTCTCTGCCACGTCGTTTTCAGAATCTTCAAAAGGTATTTCACCATTTAAAAAGATGAGAAGTTTGTGGGTGGGAGATGGCCTTTAAGAATCGTGAGAGAATTGAAGAACATGCTATTGCTATCCATACTTTTAAACTTCCACATAAAATGGCTAGAATGAAAAGCTTTTCAATGACTACAATGGGCAGAGTAGGAGAGGGAGGTGGGACTAGGAGAGAGAAGGAGAGGCGGGGGGTGGGGAGAGAGAGATTCTCAAGAATTTAAGTTGAATGGATTCTTGAAAAACGAACTCTGAAAGAAGATACCTACTAGACAGCTTCATACAGATAGCAACGAGAAGGTTACAACATCAGCACCAACCAATACTTTACATCAAACCATGCTCAAAAGAAATACTGGTTACATTGTCTAGAAGGAAAAGACCTTTTCTAAGCCATTACATGATATGTGGGTCTCTGTAAATGGTTTGGATGTAATCCCTAATAAGGAATAAATGAAAAGAATAACAAACAAAAAGTAATTAAAACACCAGAAATGAATAGAATCTTTTCTGCCCTTATCCTTGTGATAACAGAAAAGATTATTCATTTGACAACTAAATTCAAGTCCTTGGATCAGGCCAGGCTATTTGAGAAACCCCATAAAACCCAACCAACATGAGAGAAGGGAGAGAAGGCAGGGGAGAGGAAGTTTATTCTTGTCAGATTTTTTTCCTCATTGTCAAGGAGAGAACATTTTTCCTAATAAAGTAAAAGCAACATTGGACACTTGAACCATAAACTTGAAAATCTCTAAACAGTGCAAAGATACAATTTCCATATATGTTAGCTAACAACATAATAGTGGCAATGAACCCTCTCTATGCCCATTTGCCATTTATACTACACAGTTTTGCACCTTTATCAGGGTAATCATCTTTAATCAAGTACATATTTATCCTACCTATTGTTTTTGTTTTCTTATGTTACATCATTGACCCCCAAAAACAAGGAGCAGTTTTTATGCTCGTTGTACTTCCAAAATGAAATAGTATACAGGTAACACGTATATACAGCATCAATAGATAGGACAAACCTCCAAGGAAGCACAAGAATATTGCTTAAGGCGTTTGTTCCCCTCAAACAATTCACTCTCAGCAACCGCCAATATTTCCTGTATGTCGATCTCCCAAAACTGCAGTGCTTCAAATATCAGCCACGCAAGAAAAGATTTAGACAAAAGTATTTTAAAATTTAAGATATTTAAAGAAGCATCAGAAAAGAAAAACCTCAAAAGCAGTTGACTTTCTATTCTTCTCAAAGAGCATAAGTTGCCTTTAGGTATTCTACAATTTCAGCACTCTCAAACATTTGCACCCCAGTATTTGGATCTTCGAGGTAGGGAGCCTGCAAGCATGCAGCATGAGTGATCTTGCTTACAAACAATTGATAGATGGGACTAAATCAGGGTATCAAATATTATGACCTGAAAATGTCCTGCTTTCTCATACAGCACCTGTCGTTTTGGACTTCCACGGGCACAACTGCAGCATAAATCTTGTAATCAGGATTAGCAAGAAATTGTTCTGTTTCAGTACATCAAGTAGGTAATATGGAATCTAACTTAAGAACTAGAGAAATGGCTAAATGCTTCACTCCCCCCCCCCCCCCCAAAAAAAAAAGCCCCACCCCCACCTCCTCTTCGCTTCTTAAATCCCACCTTCCCCTGCTAGGCCAAAAAAATTGAAAAAAAAAAGGTATAGCCTAAATACAATTAATGCTAATTAAAGAAGTAAAATGTGCATCACTTTTTTTAAAAAAATTTTTTTTTTGCAAGGGAGGCGCGGGATTTCAGAAATAGAAGGGGGGGTGGGGAAAGGAATTTGAATCTAGGACCTCTAATTCCTAGAGCCTCAACCTTAGCCACTAGACCAAGGCCTCCTTGGCTAACTTTGGGCTTATTGGATCCTTTAACTTTTCAGCGTTCATGCTTTTAATCTACACATAAAAAAAAAAAAAGAAACTTTAACCACATGAGATGAGAAGCAAAACAGTTTGATTGGATGTATGCTGCATTATAGCAACATATTCAGAGGTCATCTACATGGTTCCAAGCAAATCGAGCATACACGGCTTTCCAAGGCTCTCCATCATCTCCATGAGAATATATTTTATTGTCAATGAACCAGTCAATTTAATCAACCATATTA